CCTTTGGTTTATACAGGAAAACTTTTATTTTATAATATATGCACCCATCGGTGTTGAACCGGTGGGTGTACATATCTTTATCCAAAACTTATATATATATATATATATATATGCGAAGGAAAATGATAGATTTACCCTTTTAACCTACACCTTCCAGCTCACACATTTAGAGCATGTTTGGGTTAGCTTGTGAGAGCTTTCACTTTTTTTGTATTGTTCATGAGTGATAAGTTTAAACTTTTATTAAAGGAAAAATTTAAAAATTGCTTTTAGAGATAGGAAAAATTGAGTAACAAGTAAGTAAAAAAGGACTTTATAAAAAGTTTAGATTTAAAACTTTTGAGTTTTTATTGTTTGAGATCTTTTTAAAATTAAAAAAAAAAAATTTAAGTGTAAGTTTTTCAGAGAAAAATTTAAACTTATGAAGTATGAATAGTATCAAAAAGCTGAAGCACTTGAAAGCTGAACCAAATATGCTGTTAGTTAAAAAAATAAAACCATATAGCTTCTTCGACAAGCTTATTCATCGGTTATCTAGCACAAATCACCCACTATAAACACATAAATCGATGAGATCTAACACTGTAGTTTTCACCTAGATTACCCATTTACGAAATCCTTTGACATGCAGTCGTGATGCCAATCGCAAAGGAAATCGAGGCAGTCAGGGAGTTATTCAAAACCCAAATCACATAGCAAGGGTCTCCGGCTGTGAAGGAGACCCGCAAAATCAATTTTGGAATTTGGGCGTCTAGAATCCAATCACCACCCAATCGTCTTCTTCTCTCCACCCCTTCTTGGACTTGCTGGTTTCATTGCAAACCATCTCCTTCGTCAACGATCAAAAACCATCTCCTCCTTCCTTATGCTTTTTCTTTTTCCTTCCCCCTCTCTTTCTCTCCCCCTTCCTCAATTTCCATCTAGTCTAAAGATCTAAGTAAAATTAGTAGTAAGAAATCGTACTGCACTTTTTTCGATGTGGTTGCCAACGATGTTGGATGATTCTCTGAAATCTTTGCTCTCATCAATTGTTGATTCTCTTGCAAATCTTATGCATGCAAATTAGGTTCCTTTGAAGCAAATTGAGACTATCGAGTGGCTACTCTGCCAGGCCAAGCCTTCCATCATTGTCGCCACTAGATCTGGCATCGTCCCAGCCACTCATGAAGTGTCCTTCAGGGTGGGTTTGACCACGAGCTCCGCTACTTCATATGTGCGATGTTGGTTGCATGCCCCAAGGAGCAGTGTTGTTATTGCTACTATGCCGATGTTATTGATGCCGCCTTCATCGAGTTGTCAACTAGCACAAACCGATCACCATTCAGTACAATAAGGTGAAATAAGAGTCTGAGAGTGAAAGATTGTTTTATTATTCCTTGAGGTTACAAATATATACAAGTTGAGATGTTGCTCTAATTGACTCTTATGGAAAGAGCTTGTAAAAATAGAAATATATAATACAAATCATCCTTAATAATGTAGAATATATGATTGGTAAGATTGATTGTGAGAATAATTAGGACTTGACATCCCTTGTATTTGATTAAGCCATGATTGATGTTGCAGCATTATGTGTTTCCTTAACACGCCCTTGCAAGATGGTAGAGCCATCAGCGATCCCAATCTTGGAACGCAGCAAGGCAAATCTTGATGAAGACAGTGGTTTGGTCAGCCCATCAACAAGTTGATCGGCAAAGGCAATATGAGAGACATGAAGAATTTTCTTGTCAACGAGATCACAAATAAAATGAAGATCAATTGCTATGTGCTTCATACGAGAGTGCATGACTAGATTACTGCTGAGATACGTGGCACCAACATTATCACAGTAAAGCATTGGTGGAGCACTAAAATTAATGCCAAGCTCAGTCAACAAATGCAATACCCAACCTAACTCAGAAGAAGCAGCTGCTAGAGCTCTATACTCGGCCTCGGTTGAACTGCGAGCAACAATTTTTTATTTACTAGCCTTCCAAGAGATAAGAGTAGCACCAAGAAAGACAACATAGCCAGTAGTAGAGACACGAGTGTCCTTGTCACCTGCCCAGTCAGAATCACTAAAAGCATGAAGAGAAAAAGTAGAAGTGGGTCGTATCAGTAACCCATGGAGCATAATAGATTTCAGATAGCATAAGATGCATTTGACTGCTTGCCAGTGCATCTCAGTGGGACAATGCATATACTAAGATAATTTATTAACAACAAATGAGATGTCAGGGCGAGTTAAGGATAGGTACTGCAAGGAGCCAATGAGTCTTTGGTAAGCTATGCCATCTAAGAGAGGTAGAGAACCAATTTGAGGAGACAACCCAGAAGAGGACATGGGTGTTACAATCAGTTTGGCTCCATCCATTTTATGCTTTTGTAAGAGGTCACTAATATATCTATGTTGAGAAAGAAATAAAGTAGTAGAGGTTTTAATTGCCTCAACACCCAAGAACAAACTGAGGTCACCAAGATACTTCGAGGAGAATTTCTAGCCTAACCTGTGGATCAAGTCTGAGATAAAAGTAGCATTATTCCCAATAATTAGTATATCATCAACACAGACTAGCACATAGATAATGATTCCAACATTATTATGAATGAATAAAGAGAAGTCAGAACTAGAATTAACCAAGCCACAATCAAGAAGGAACTTTTTCAATTCAGTGTACCATGCCCTTGGAGCCTGCTTAAGGCCATAAATTGCTTTCTTCAATTTACAGACATGATGAGGAAGATTTTGATCAATAAAACCTGCTGGTTGAGCCATATACAAGTCCTCCTCAACAGAACCATGGAGGAAGGCAGTATTCACATCAAGTTGCCCGATGGACCAAGCTTAACTCACAACAATAGTAAGCACGGTGCGAATGGTAGTGGGTTTGATGACAAGACTCAAAGTATTAGAATAATCATAACCATGCCACCAGTGAAATCCTTTGGCCACCAACCACGCCTTGTAGCGCTCAATTTCACCATTTTTGCCTCTCTTCAATCGAAACGCCCGTTTACACTCAATAACATTTTGATTTGAAGATGGTGGAACCAAATCTCAAGTACCTTGGTGAACTAGAGCATCAAATTCATCTGACATAGCTCTTCGCCATTGGGGATGACTCAAGGCTTGGCTCACACGTGAGGGCTCAACAATGGTTGAGAGAGAGTGTTTGGTGGCAAGGTGCATGTGTTTGGGCTTAAATATGTTATTTAAGGACCGGGTGATCATGGGATGGATACAGTGAGTGATGGGTGGTGGTGTAGGGGAGGCCGGTGACGGAGAGGAAGGAACAGGGGACGGGGAGAGGGAAAGTGATTCCATGATAGGAAAAAAGGGAGAGTTACCTGAGTAGGAGTGATGCTGAACCAGATCTAGGCCGCAAGAAAAAGGGGGCAAGGCGTCCTGCGAAGACAAGATGGTAGAGGCCGATAGAGGGGAAGCGACAACAGCTGATGGCAGGGATGCTAGCAAGGATGGGAAGGAAGCAGAGAAGGGATCAGTGATCGGTGCCGGGGATGAGGAGGCTGGGGAGAGGGAGGGCTGAGGATGGATTAAAAAGGAAGAAATCGAGACTAGAGTATGGGTGGGATCTGGAAAAGATTGAGTGAGGGTGGCTGAGTGGGTATTAGACTCCCGAAAAGGAAAATGATCCTCTTGGAAGATAACATGCCTTGAAATGAATATTTTATTATTTTGAGGATCAAAACATTTATAACCTAGGTGATTAATGGAGTGGCCAAACAAAAATACACTGATGGGATATTGCTTGGAGTTTATTTTGGGTGCATGGACGTAGCCAAGGATAGCAGGCACACGCGAAAATTTTGAGTTTTAAATAATTTGGAGAAATAGAGAAGAATTTTTGAAAGAGGGATATAAAAAACAAGACAAGAGTAAGTAAGCGATTAAGTAAGTATACTGCAGTTTGAAAAGCATGTGGCTAGAAATGAGTGGGTACTGAGTTATAATGAAGTAAGGCTAGACCAATCTCAATAATGGTTTTGTTGCGTTTTTCACAGAGGCCATTTATTTCTTGAGTATAAGGTGGAGTGCTAAAATGAGAAATACCATTTTTTTGAAAATAATTTTGAAGAGAAATATATTCCCCACCGCCATCAGAGTAAAAAGTAATTATTTTACGTCCAAATTGATTTTTAACTAGAGACTTAAATTTTGGGAAGATGATTGAGACATTTGATTTTTTTTTGGATTGGATATAACCAAACATAACGACTATAGTGATCTACAAAGATAATAAAGTACCTACACCCATCAATAGAAATGGTAAGTGCGGGACCCCAAACATCAGAAAAAATATATTCAAGAGGAGCAGGGCTAGTACTAGAGGATTTGAAGAACGGGAGTTTGTGACTTGTAGAATAGGAACAAGAATCACAATAAAAATCATCGGATTTATTTACTAATGGCAAATTGATAACACTAAGAATTTTTTGGAATATCTTAGATGTTGGGTGTCCCAGCCTTGCATGCCAATTATTCCCAATGTCTTTTCCCCAAGATGTGCCATGGGTAGTTGTTTACTGGGGCCCATTTGAGGAACTTGGTACATCCCATGCTGGTTTTGCCCTCACAATAATATCGCCCCCGTGTTGTGATCCTTCACCAAGAAAAAATTAGGATGAAATTCAACAATAGAATTTGTAGTTTTGCATAATTAAGAAACAGAAATAAGATTGCAAAGGGCTGTAGGTACACATAAAACATTATTTAAAGGAATAGATGAGGTGGGTGTTGTGAGAGTTGTATGGCCAACATGAGTGATTTTCAAACCTGAGCCATCTCCAATTAGTAGTTCATCAGGGCCATTATAATTTGAGTGTAGTGCCAAGTTGGACAGATCAATGGTGATATGATTATTAGCACCTGAATCAATTAACCACCCTCTAGTGTTTGGACCCGTAAATGCTACATAATGAGTTGTGGGTCCTTGGCCTTGATTTCGAAACAGTGAACAGGTACGAGCAGTGTCCTAAAATTGTTGCAAAGTTGACAAGATATATTGAGCCTATTGGTGTTGGGCCGGTTTAGGCTTCCTCTTTTTTTATTAAACTGATTTGGCCTATTATGCCCATTTCCTCTTCCTGCTGCCAATTGTTGGCCTGATCCAAATGGTTGTATATTTTGTGGCAATGGTAAAATTCCTGCAACATTAGATTGAAAAGAAACATTTGAGAAACTAGAATTTGTGGCAAAATTAGCATTATTACCAGTAAGCTTTCTAGTAGGCATGGCAGCAAAATGGGCAGTCACTGGTGTGTTTTGAATTCGAGCTTCTTCCCTATGCATACTTTCTTCATGTGTAACAAATTTGTCATGAAGTTCTTCAAAAGAAAGTGGCTCATCTCAAGCTCGTAGTGAAGTAGAGATCTCATGAAATTCAGGTCCAATCCCATTGATGACATATACCGTCAGATCATCGTTAGTGAGGGGTTTGTCTATTGCAGCAAGTTCATCAGCAAGCACCTTAAGTTGATGGAGAAACTCGATGATGGTGTGCCCATCTTGGCAAGTATTTTGGAGGCGCTCCTTGAGTTTAAACACCCTGGATCTTGAGTGGTTCGCATAGAGATTGGCCAAGATTCTCCATGCTTGCTGTGAGGTCTCAGCTGTAGATATGTAGGGAACAATCGGTTCTGAAATTGACGTGAGAATAGCATGCCGAATTGACTGATCCTGGAAAATCTAGAGTTCATAGGGAGAGTCAGGAACCTCTCCGGTTGGTGCTAGTGGGCAACGTTTGGATCCATTGAGAAAGTTAGTTAATTTGTAGACAATAAGAATAGATAGGAATAGTGCCCGCCAAGACGGATAGTTGCTGGGAGTAAGTTTGAGAGGAAAATGAGCAACAGCATTGAAAGTGATAATGGTATTTTGTCCAATAGGAATGGCAACATTGGTGGAAAAGGAGAGCTGATGGTTGTAGAGGATTCACTGGCTATAGGTAGAGCTTGTTTGAGAGAATGCTCTGATACCACTAATAAGGGGAAAAAAGTGTCTGAGAGTGAAAGATTGTTTTATCATTCCTTGAGGTTACAAATATATACAACTTGAGATGTTGCCCTAATTGACTCTTATGGAAAGAGCTTGTAAAAATAGAAATATACATAATACAAATCATCCTTATTAATGCAAAATATATGATTGGTAAAATTGATTGTGAGAATAATTAGGACTTGACATCCCTTGTATTTGATTGAACCATGATTGATGTTGCAGCAATATGTGTTTCCTTAATACAGTATCCAAGTGAAGTGACGAATGGGTATCGCCACATGCCATTTATAGCGTTGTTGTTGCAACCCATAACTAGGGCAACAAAACATGAAGATGAGCAAAGGCAACAATAGAAAATTGAGATTTGATTTTTCTAGATTTACTTGTGATTTGATTTTTATAATGAAATTCATAAGATTATAGAAAATTTGTTAATTAATTTCATTTGCAAGTAATTGAAATCTAGGTTTGCTTTAAAATGATCAGTTAAAACTGTTTTATGGTGTTAGCTGTTTTATTTCTAAGAAAACAAAAGAAAATATGAAAGAGATTGAAATTTTGTGGTAGTTCTGTACAATAAATGTGAACTGATTTTAATTGTAGAACTATGATCTTGCCTTGTTCATCTTTTAGTTGAAGTAATTATGATTCTTTTTTTAATTGCTAGAATTTCTTGTGATGATTTTATTGCTTGGTTTCTAAGAGAATAGAGGAAAAAAAATCATAACCTCATAATGAACCTTTCTGGGGCTTACTGTAACTGTTGGAGAGACATATGGCTTAGCGGGACGACATTGAGTGGTCCATTACATGTTTCGACACCACATTGAAACCAAAAGAATACCCTATTAGTTCCATGGGTCTTCACTTATATAAGCCACTCTTTCTTTCTGTATTTTTTCAATGTGGGATCTTA